TCCCACACAGCATCGCCTCGGATCAAGGGACTCACTTCACAGCAAATGAAGTGCAGCAATGGGCCTATGTTCATGGAATTCACTGGTGTTACCATGTTCTCCATCATCCTGAAGAAGCTGGCTTGATAGAACGATGAATGGCCTTCTAAAGACACAATTATGGTGCCAGCTAGGTGGCAATACCTTGCAGGGTTGGGGCAATGTTCTCCAGGAGGCTGTATATGCTTTAAACCAGTGTCCAACATATGCTGCTGTTTCTCCCATAGCCAGGATTCATGGGTCCAGAAATCAAGGGGTGGAAATGGGAGGGGCTCCACTCACTATTATCCCTAGTGATCCATTTGCAAAATTTTTGCTTCCTGTCCCCATGACCCTATGCTCTGCAGGCCGAAAGGTCTTAGTCACAGAGGAAGGATTGCTCCTACCTGGAGACATATCACTGATTCCATTGAAATGGACGTTAAGAATGCCACCTGGCCATTTGGGGCTTCTTATGCCTCTGGAACAACAGGCAAAGAAGGGAGTTACCATACTGGCTCATGTGATTGATCCTGATTACCAAGAGGAAATCAGATTAATATTACATAATGGAGGCAAAGAAGAGTATGTCTGGAATGCAGGAGATCCCGTGGGTAATCTCTTAGTACTATCATGCCCTGTGATTACAGTCAATGGAAAACTACAGCAACCCAATTCCGACATGACTACTAATGGCCCAAACCCTTTAGGAATAAAGGTTTGGGTCACACAAACTGGCAAAGAACCGTGACCAGCTGAGGTGCTTTTTGAGGGCAAAGGGAATACAGAATGGGTGGTAGAAGAAGGTATTTCTAAATACCAGTTATGACCACATGACCAGTTGCAGAAATGAGGACTGTAATTCTTATGAGTTTTCCTCACTTATAAAATATAAGATGTGAACAAGGCTAGGGCATTTTTGGTTGTATGAGTGTTAGTTGTATCATGTTAGGTGCAAGTATGACTTTATAATTGTCTTTAGTCAGAGATTATGTATGGTTTAAGGAGATGTATACAGGTGCCAAGTTGACAAGGAGTGGACTGTGATTGCTCAGTTTGTGTGTTAACTTGGCTGGACCATGATTCTCAGTCGTTTGGTAGTTAATGATGTAGTTTGGCAGTTGTATAATGATGTAATCACATCCATGATGAGATCTGATATAATGTGATCACCTCCATGATGGGATCTGCTGTGAGTAGTCAATCAGATGAAAGGGAGTTTCCTTAGGGGTGTGGCCTGCATCCAATATAGGTATGCTTTCTGGCAAGGCTTGTGGGCTTTTGCTCACTCTGGATCCTGCAGCTGGCTCCTGCTCGTCTGACTTCCAGTTACTGGAACTGGAGTTAGCAGCTTACCTGCCGTCTTGCTTGCTGATCTTGGGATTCGTCAGTCTTCACAGCCTGTGAGCCAGAGCCCTGCTGTCTGACCTGCCAATCTTGGGTTTGCCAGCCCCTGCAGCTACATGAATCAGAAGAAGCCTCCAGCCTGACCCACGGACTTGGGATGTTCCAGCCTTTACAACCATGTGAGCCATTTCCTGAATATAAATCTCTGTATGGTGCATTGCTTAAGAGCTACAGCTGCTAACCAAAAGTTCAACAGTTCAAATCCACTAGTCGTTCCTTGGAAACCCTAAGGAGCAGTTCTACTCTGTCCTATAGGGTATCTATGAGTCAAAATCAACTCAACAGCAATGGGTTTGGGTTTGTTTGTTTGTTTGTTTGTTTTTACATGTATATTTATATGTTTTACTGGTTTTCTTTCTCTAAAGAATCCAGACTAAGACACCAAGCATGATGTCCTTCTCCAGGGGACTTGGACAACTATAAAACTACCAGGATTGTCATAAGGTAAAACAAAATAATGTATATAAAATTCCTATCACAGTACATGGCACGTGGTAGGCAATTAATGAAAAATATAATTTCTTTTTATCTCTTAATTCCTGAAGGACTCGGGCCTTGAGTTTTGCGTATGAATAGGATTTGTTTCTGAAGGCAATGGTACAGCCCACTTTTAAGGAGACAAGTCTTTTGGCCTTTTGCCCATTGCTGTATCGACCATTACTTGGAGGCCAGACCAAGCTAGGTGCAGGGCAGCCTCATATGCTTGGAGAATCTACGAGAAGCGCAGCTGTCCATCCAGGATGCAGGCCCAGGCAAAAGTGTGCATTGGCAGCCATGCTAGGCCCAGCACCAGCAAGAATCAGAAGGAGCACATTATCAAAAATGTGGTCGTCACTATGTGGTCCTCCACTCTGAACACCAGACGCAGATTTGGGGCATTCAATCATTCTAAGAAGGAAATGATAAACTCTCATGGGCAGTTAGCTCTATATCCAGCTCAATATGCAGTAAATTGCACAGCATAGCTGCAAAACTCATAGTGCCTGGGCTGTAAGGGAGCTTTGGCTCCATGTAACCACGGGGCACCAGAACATTCCCAGCAAGGTAAATTGACAGGCAAGGAAAGGAGAGGGAATCTCTTCAGTTGTGGCTGGCTTTCTTCCCTGCTGATGGAAGACAGCATTTCTTGCTGGTAGAGGTGAGGTTCCCCAGGCTGGGGACCCTTGTACAGAGTGGTCCTTTATCCAGAGAACAGAAGGCAGCTGTGCCTTCAGCCTCCAAGCATTCTTGGACAGCTCATCATGGAGGGGTCCAGCCAAGTTGTTGGAAATGACTTTCAGGAAGATCATGGGCCAGAATCCAGACCCCTGCTGCAGAGTGGCTGACAGGATCTTAACCCTGCAGGAGCTTGTGAATGGCCCAGTTGGTACTCTCCACTTAGATCAAACTTCTGTACATGAAGCACCGCCCATCCTAGAATACCTCATAGTTTTTACCCAGGGTGCACTGCTATTCTGTGTGGCAGAGAAACCAAGAAAGCTACGTGCTTAGTCTCCACTGGAAAGTGGGCAACCTCCGTAGGGTCATGAGAATTTCCAGTTAGAGCAGGAAGCCCAGTAAGCAGGCTGGGGCTCCACTGGGTCTCAGTCAGGGCAGGACCTGTGGGTAGCATGTGGGGAAGCTGGCCTTGATCATGTAAAATAGTAATTTCTCCATATAGTCTACTCTTTTCCTGTCAAATTCATGCATATTACCTGCAGGGCATTCACTTCCTTTCACAAAGTGAAGAGTTGAGCTGAATCGACATTAAGGTTCTTCCATTCTGACACTCCCAGTGTCCCAAGGACTGTGCACTGACCCATGGGCTAAAACTAAGGTAGGTCCTGGGAACTGTGGTCTTAATGGTCAGGTTGATGGTCATCTGAGCTCATGAGAGATGGTCTTCCTGGGCTAAAGTACTGCAGGAGAAAAATCGCACAGCAGTGCAGTAGACACTAATACAAGTGCTGGGTCTCCACTTGTTAATGCTACCCAATAAGCTTGTTCCTTGCTTAGTTCCCTCTCTCTTTCCCAAAAGTGACCATCCAAACCTTCACAAGTCTTCAAATCTCTTACCCAGACTTCACACCTTTCACTCTTGGCAGAATCCTCACCTCTTACAAACTTAATTGCACTTACATCGTCACCTCCTCTCTTGTCTGGGGCCCCTGGGTGGTGCAAATGGTTAAAACACTCAGCTGCTAACTGAAAGGTTGAAGGTTTGAGTCTACCCAGAGGCACCTCAGAAGAAAGGTCTGGAGATCTACTTCTGAAAAATCAGCCACTGAAAATCCTGTGGAGCACAGTTGTACTCTGACATACATGAGTCAGAATCGAAACAAAGGCAACTGGTTCTCTGTTGTCTTGGAGGGTCAGACTTCTCCTCTTCTGGTCAAGGCCTCCTCTCCTCTGGTCAAGGCCTCTACCTATGTCCTTAGCCCACTCACTCAGAAAACTTTCCCTATCAATTTTTCTTCTCCACTCCTACCTTTAACTACCCTTCCTCTACCGATTCTTTCTCTCTATTCTTTAAATACATGCAAGTCTCTCTGAGAGTGAAACCAACTGACAACCCCCTCCTTGACTCTATTCTCTATCTTCTGTCCTGTCTCTCTTCTTCTGAACCAATTCTACTTCAAATTGGGCAAGGTGGGAGGCTCAGGGAGGCGAGGAGCCAGGGTCTAGGTGCCCAGCTGGGGAGCGGCTCAGGTAGAGCCTCAGGACATGGAACAAAAAGGGAATTAAAGGCAATATTCCAGGAGAAATGGGATAAGAATCAAAGAGACAGTCAACTATTGGATCAATCCAAAGTGTCCTGGGCAGAGAGGCCAAAAAAAATAGATGTGAGTTAAAGAATCTATAACTAGAGATAGGAAGATAGAGCCTAAAGTTTTAGGAAGTTGGATAGGAATCAGAGCAGAAAGTGATCTCTCAAGGTACTGGTACCTAGAGTTGAACCCCATTTTAGGGTGCTTATAGCCTTGCCAATGGGCAGAGAGGGAGCATTTAGGGATGCCAAGCTTGTCTGTTTACCTTTATTTCTCTGTCAATCTCCTTAAAAGTCAACAATTATTGCACTACTTTTCTTTTCTCTTTTTATTGTACTTTAGATGAAGGTTTACAGAACAAACTAGCTTCTCATTAAACAGTTAGTACATAGATTGTTTTATGACATTGGTTAACAATACCATGACATGTCAGTACTCTCCCTTCTAGACCTTGGGTTCTCTATTACCAGCTTTCCTGTCCCCTCCTGCCTTCTAGTCCTTGCCCCTGGGCTGTTGTGCCCCTTTAGTCTCATTTTGTCCTATGGGCCTGTCTAATCTTTGGCTGAAAGGTGAACCTCTGGAGTGACATCATTACTGAGCTAAAAGGATATCCGGAGGCCGTATTCTCAGGGTTTCTCCAGTCTCTGTCAGGCCAGTAGTATGGTCTTTTTTGAGTTAGAATTTTGTTCTACATTTTTCTCCAGCTCTGTCCAGGACCGTCTGTTGTGATCCTGGTCAGAGCAGTTAGTGGTGGTACCGAGGCAACATCTAGTTGTACTGGACTCAGTTTGGTGAAGGCCATGGTAGTTGTGGTCTATTAGTCCTTTGGACTAATCTTTCCCTTGTATCTTTAGTTTTCTTCATTTTCACTTGCTCCTGATGGGATGAGACCAGTGGAATATCTTAGATGGCTGCTCATAAGCTTTAAGACTCCAGATGCTACTCACCAATGCACTACTTTCTTAGTTCAGTTTCACTGTAAAACACACAGCAATCTGAATTTTGTGTCTATCTTGCCACTGAAACCTCTTGGGAAAAAATTACCAATAATCTTTATACTGGTCTCTTCTTCTCTGTGCGCTCCCTCATGAGTTCTTCTTCCTCCTCTTTTGCTGCCCGTTGTTTAAACATTAATGTCCACCAAGTTGTTCCAGGCTGTTCTAACCAAGCTCACAATTATTGGGCATTTTCATACACTCTCATGGTTTTTAAATCAATAGTTTTGCTGTTAACTTCCAAATCTAGACCTCTGGTCCCTGCTTCTCTCCTGGCCTTCAATTTCGTAACTGAACTGTTTGGCTCTGAGGTCCCACAAATGTTACTTGTGTCTGTACATTGCTGGTCAGAAGTGTCATGTGGCAAATGGAAGAGTGGGAAGAGCTGCAGGATAAGGCAAAAAAAAAGCAATGGATGGTTAGCTAGAAGCAAGCTGTCAGCTCGATTTATTTCTAAAAGAACTGGGCTTTTAAATTTCTTTCTGATGTGACTTACACATCCCAAAACCACCTATGTAGGATAACTAAGTTAAGAAATTCTTGAGTATATGCCTGACTTTACTTCTTTCTTAACTGTGGGACCAAGAGTAGACTTGGATTACCGAATTGTCACTCCGGGGCACTGTCTTTAAGGCAACATGCTCTGTAAGTGGGCTCCTGTCTCCAACTGGCAAATTCTTTTGGTTCTATAAGTTTGAATTCAAAAGAGAATTGAAAATTGAAATTGGGCCAGCTAATCATTGAATGGGCCACTCTTGGGTGAAGTGTCTGCCCCCAAGTCCAGTCAAAAGCCACTCTTATGCAAAGAACATTCTTGTGCTAAATCCCTGGGTGGAGCCTGTGAGCAGTGCAGTTTAAGATGGAAGGTGAAGTTGTGCATGGCAGTCTTCATAACTGACACCTCCAGGGCCTGCTGTGGAGTGTGTAAAGAGAGTTCCTACCTCTGCCTGCAAAATCAGGAAGGGCCTCACAAAGGCTTTGGCATTTGAGATGGGCCTTAAAGAATGGTAGGTTCTGTATGTGATTTGTGTGTGTGTGTGTGTGTGTGTGTGTCGATTTAAGAATTTTGCAACATTATTCTAAACCTAGGGCCTTCATTCAACTATTGTTTATTCTTATTTTTTTCCTTTTCTGTATCTAGAGACTCATTTCTTATTCTTAAGAAACTCCATACTTGAAGTTACTAGAATGGGTTCCTCCTCTCCTTTCTCTTTATCTCTCTTTATAGTATGGACACTTAACAAAATCTAGAATAATATTCTCTCACTCATTCATTGACTCAATATTCAGTGCCTTCTATATGCTAGAGTCTGACCAGTTTCTGTAAACAATAAAACCATGAAACAACAATAACAATAGTAAGCAGATTTGCATAGCATTGTACAATTTACAAAATGCATTTTCAGGTTATTTTGTTTAATCCTTATAACACCTCCATGCAGTAGTTATTTTTACAAATACATTTAATTCAGAAAACTGAAGCTCAGGTAACTTGTTCAAGGTCAAGCTTCAAGTATAGCCGGGGAGGAGAAACGTGAACCCAGGTTTGTAGTACACCCCACTGGAATGACTCATACGAATCATAGAAACATAGTGTGTTAGATCTGACATAATTTAATTACATATCAATAATTTGGCAATAGGCATTACCAACCAACATATGACATACTCTAGCTGAACATTTTTCTAAACCAAAGCTTCAGATGATGTAACCCAAAAGAGCACTCTTTGAAAATAAGTCTGTGAGTTTGAAAAACTTCTCTAAGCAGATTAAAAGGAGTTTGTTTTTTAAAAAATAAATTTATTTTTAATGAGAAATACTTATAGAAAATTCTGTCTCCCTGATATTTGTTTTCTTTCTCTTCCCTAAGAAGCATGTATATATTAATGCTTATTAATAAATAATACTGCTGCCTTCTACATCATGTACTATTCATTCCCTGCTGGTAAACTCTCTATGTTCCATTTGGTTAGCTCAGCCGGTCCAATCAGTTCAATCCTTCTGAGTAACTTTAGTTTTGTATCCTCCTTCCCTTTTAGAATGGAAAAGTCACAGATGCTTACTGTATAAATGGCAAACCATACAGATGTCTTAGGAAGTAAAAAGCCCTGGCAATCCCACCCCCAGATGTAAAAGCTATTAATAATGTGGTGCATAGTCTTTCAAATTTCTTCCATTCATACACTAATATATTTATATGTGTTTTTACATAAATGGGATCTGCCATACACACTGTTTGGCAATTTTTGTTTGTTTGTTTTTGACTTAACAACATCTTGGCTATCTTTCTTTGTCAGTACCTATGGATCTACCTCAGCTTTCAGATAGCTTTTGACAAAGGAAAACATCCATTTTACAGAAACAGAATGCATCTCAAATGTTTTGGCAATGCACACCTTAATTAAAATAAAATCTAGGTGAGAAAGTGGGGATAGCTCTATAAATTGTAACCCATCGCCACTCCTTAGGGCGAGGGGTGGGAATCAAAGTAGGTTAATAGTTGCTATTGCTAAACAGTAGGCTGTTGTAACTAGTTCAGCCCTTGGGAAAAAATTAGGCAATTACAGACACTTGGAATTAGCAGCCTATGGACAAGTGTCGAAATGAGGAACGTGTTGGAAAATACCCCCTTATGGAATTGCCTTCAGGTAGGGGTTTGGAAGGCTCTAAGTCGTTTTCAACAGCTTGCCATTAGCTAGAAACACACTTCCCAACACCTCAGCACTGATCTGTTAAAGCCTCTCATTTAGTGAGAAACACAAGACAGATGATTCAGTGTGCTGGGCAATTCATTAACCCGTCAAGAGCTTTCTTCCTGAGCCCGGGATAACAGGCAGAAAAAGGAATGTAATCCTTAATGAACAACAAAGGGTGCCGCTGGAGGGATGGGAACACACACATACAAGGCATGTGATGGGCTATCCTCTTCCATCTGGAACAACCGGTCGTAGCCTGGACTCACACAGATTTTCACCATAGATCGATCCTGTGTGGCAGTGAAATAAGTTTTTTTTTTTTTCCCAGCTGTCTTGGAAATGGCAATTGACACATGTGAGAGACCACACTTAGAGAAGGCCATCTGTCTCGTATCCCAGGTCTTGGACTCTCCTTAAAGAACCAAAGAAGTAAGCCAAGCCCTGCCAGCATTTCACACGACTCCCAAGAGAATAAATGTTCTCAGATTGAGCCATAACAATCAACATTAGTCCAGGGACTACCTGAAATTTGGCTTGCTGGAACCCAGCTAATAGACCTCAGATAACTGAGTATACTGTGTTCTTTTTCAATGTTTCTATATAGCTTCTGGGCTTATCAGGAATGCTGAGGTGGATTTACAGAAAGTAAGTGTTATGTAATAATGTTCAATTACTATTTTCCAAAACATGTTTTTCCTCTCCCCGTATTATTTCTTTATTCCATGAGATGTTTTGGTATCCAGCTATGATTCCTGTCTTGGGAATCTCCCTTTTTCAAAGGAAAAATTTAGTAGTACAAAACATTTAGAAGCTAATTCTCCCCTCTTTCCCCTAAATCTTTTATTTGCTGTCATTAAGACAAGAGCTGACAAGTAGATCCTGGAAGATTCATATTCTCTCTCAGTGTAATACTGTGGGAGTAATAAAACAGGTTTGTGAGGGATAAAAGGAGAATAAGTAAAATTTCTTAAGCTAGTTGCAGAATTATCTTAAAATTTTAACAATCTGATTTTCATTAATAATATTTATGCTAATAATTATTAGGGTGACTAAATGTGCAGGTTTGCCCAGGATAGTCCTGACTTATGCCTATGGTTCCAGAATAAGAATTAATAGTGTCTACTTTCTCTCTCAAATGTGTTCTGGTATGGATGCTAAACTATATGGTTTCTCTGTTAATCATATCAGACTTCATATTCTGCCATCACAATAAACAGCAGCGTCATATAACAATTGTAATGACAGCTCTCTATCAAAAATAAGTGGACATATCTTTTGTCCTATAAATTCCCTTCTAGGAATCTATTCTACTAAAATTCTCATGTTATGAACAGAAGATATATATACAAAAATGTTTAGTGAAAAATAGAAATAATCTAAATGTTTGTCAATAGGAGACTGTGAAATCCTATGTAGCTATTATAAAAGAAGGTGGTAGATCTAAGTGTGTTGGTGATATGGTGACATGGTGAAATGTCCAAGACATATTTTTAAATGAAAAAAGCAAGTTTTGACACAGTATATGTATGTGTTTATATGAGTGTGTGTGTGTGTGTGTGTGTGTAGATACACTGACACAGTGGCTGCAACAGTGGGCTCAAAAATAGCAACGATTGTGAGAATGGCGCAGGACCGGGCAATATTTCATTCTGTTGTGCGTGGGGTCTCTATGAGTCAGAACCGACTAGATGGCACCTAATAACAAATGATACATGTAATAGTATATGTATGTTGTTGTTGTTAGGTGCTGTCGAGTCATCTTCAACGTATATATATATTGAGAGAGAGAGCAGTGTTTGCCTGGCTGGTTCTAGGATGTCATTAGCTTCCTCTATGATGTATAATCTCCTCTGACTCCCACCCCCACAAACCATGCCAAATCAACCTCAACCTAGAAACAAACTGCTTATTATGCAAGTGTAGCTGCTCCCTTAGCCTTCTCATCTAACCAGATTGCCTCCCCTAAGCCTTTCCGATACAGAAATTCTGGAGATGCCATGGTGTACGATACAATTTTGTTGTATAATATGTATACTGGAAGAAGAGTCACAAAACTGTTAACTGTGATTACTTCTGGGAGAGTGACTGTTACTCCCTTCTGTATTTTCATTTTAATCCATAAGTATATCCTGCTTATAATTTAAAAAATTAGTTCAAAGGAAATAAATGTATAATCAGTTGGTGATATAAAAAGATATTTTAGGTGCATCTAGGGCATCTGGGAGCCCTTTATTTAGAGAGAAAGAATAGAGAGCCAGATCTCTGGCATTTTTCCTGCAAATATACTTTGGAGTGGATGTGGCATATTCTATAGTTATCTCCCAATTATAGGCTAATTGAGGAAAGGGATAGCTTGAGGAAATAAAGTTGAAATGTAGCCATAGTTTCCAACTTTTTCACAATCATTTTAACTGGACCAGTTAAACAGATACAGTACATTAATTGTTTCCTCTGAATCTTTCTGGAAGTAGAGTATAAGATATAAACCAATTACTTAAAAAGGATTGACTTTCACATTCTTTTTTCATTTCTCTGATCTATCTTCTAGGACAAATATGAACCTAAAAGGCTAACAGCAGATGAATGAAGGTTTAGAATAAGCTTGTTGTTGTGGTTGTCAGGTGCCATTGAGTCAGTTCTGACTCATAGTGACCCTATGTACACCATAACAAAACATTGCCTGGTCCT